CAAAATCATTTTATCCAAATAATACATTATCTTCAAATAAAAATAGTTCTAAAACGAAAAGTATCTTATCCACTGAAAATTTGTGAGCTGAGTCTCGCTTAAATGATATTGTCAATTGAACTCTGTAGTGAATATGATATTGCCTGTTTTCATTCGAAGGCTTCTACTTTGAAGGATTTGAAAATATAAAATTTGATTCAAAATATTTTTTTTCTTGATGATGATTCCAAAAACAAATGGGCGAACTTTCAAACTTTTATGGTTAAAAAAATTTTTATGGCTTAGACATTCACCTTCTGAAGATGGAGCTTTATGTTTGTGTTGCATTTTCTTTGGATATAAATACCCTTCAAAAGCTCATACATTTAAAAACTTGTATTCTCAGTCATTCAAATACTGGCCAGAAGCTGTGAGCACTTTTTTTAGACATTATCATGGTAAAAAAGGAAATATTTATGAACATTACTCAGCAGAAATATTTATGAACATCATCACGCAGTACAAATTATACCTGGACCACATTTTCCACAGTTTTAAATGCTATGAATAGAAATATTAAAAATATAGGTATTTTAATAAAGAATATGAAAAGAAGATTGCTTTAAATCTTGAGAAGTTGCATCCAATTGTTGACTCAATCATTTTCTTAATCCGACTTATTATAGCTTTCAGAGGTCATTGTGATGGTTATTGTCAAATGTTCTTAAGTGGCTGGAGAAGGTAATTTTATTAAACTTTTAAACTAAAGAATCAGAGGTGGGGATAAAGTTCTTGAACTTCATCTTAACAGGTGTGCAAAGAGTGCATCTTATATTTTTAATTTGTCACAGAATGAATTAATAAGTTGTTGTAAAAAGTACATCCAGAATATTTTGATTTCTAAAATAAAAGAAAATCAATTTTTTTCAGTTATTGCTGATGAAGCATCTGACTGCTCTAATCAGGAACAATTGTCTTTAGTAATTAGATTTAAAGAATTATTCATATGATGTTAGGAAAGAATTATTCTTTTGATGTTAGGGAGGAATTTATGGGTTTTTTACATAGTGAATTAGATACTGAATAAGGTTTTGTATATACACTGTATAAGCAAACCTTTATTCAGTATCTTTAAAATCTTCAAATAGAAATTTTGTTTATTTTAACAATTTTTAAATTAAAAAATATAATTATTTTATTTTTTATAGTTTTATTTATTTAAAAGGACTATTTATTTTATTTTACTTGTTATTTTAATTTTACCATGAAGTTTTATTATCTTTATAAATTTAAACATACCTAATTTTTATTGTGTTCTTTTTTTCTTTATTTATCTTTATATATATATATATATATATATATATATATATATATATATATATATATATATATATATATATATATATATGTGTGTGTGTGTGTGTGTGTGTGTGTGTGTGTGTGTGTGTGTGTGTGTGTGTGTGTGTGTGTGTGTGCAACGAAATAATGCTAATTTAGTTTTTTTATATAAAAGTGCTGCATATTTTTAATTCGGAAAAGTAACAATGTAACCGTTTAGAGGTACTTCGTTATCACAAAGTTCATTATTTTTACACGAAACTTATCAAATTTATCGAAAGTATTAAAAAAATTTGATTTCCTTCTCAACAAAACAAGTGCAACTCCACAAAATTCTGACCAAGCTGTATTTCGCTATCAATATTTCGTTGCGAATCCTTTATTGTTGATCAGAGCCTTACATCTTCGAGGCATAGATTCAATCCGGTGATCAATGAAACTTTGTGGAATTGCTTCCCAGGGTATTAGGACTTGTTCAAACAGTTGATCCTTATTACGATTACCTTCACGAATAATTTTGCATTTAAGATTTTTTTGTTCACGATCTCCCACAGGATCTGGATAGGGTTTAGATCCGCAGGTAGAAACGGCCAATCCATCACCGATAAATAGTTGTCTTAAAACCAAAGCTTGACTACTTTTGCAGTGTGTGTCGGATCGTTGTCTTGCTGAAAAACCCATTTTATGGCATATTCCATTTAGCATGAGATAATATAACATCTTTTAGAATTTTTTTTTATATATGAAACAGTCCATTAGTCCATATTTTCGATGTATGAGACGTAGACCGTTAGCAGAAAAACATAATCAAACCGTTACATTGCCTCCACCATGCTTCACGGTCATATGGTAGTAACGTAAATCGAGGCATTTTCCGGCCGATCGATGTACATGGCAAATGCCATTGCTCCCAATGATATTAATCTTTGATTCATCGCTGAAAAAGACAGTTCGCTATTTTTGCACATTCGAGTCAATATGAAATGTAGCATACAGGAGTCTTTGTGAAATCAGCGGTTTCAATGCAGGGCTTCGACAAAACATCCGGCTTCAATAGCAGATTCAAGAAAACTCCATTTATATGCTTTATCTATTTATATGCTTTAGAAAATCATAACGAAACTGCTTGCAAATTCTACCTACAATATTAGACAAAACATTTTCAACCAACATCGAACAATGT